GAATCCCTTATTGTGATTATACAGATTATACAGACGCCAGTCTCACTATTATATATATATATATATATATATATATATATATATATATATATATATATATATATATATAAAAAATGATAAAAACAGTAAATATTAATGAGAACTGATAAAAGGCAACCTTTTCGCTAAGCAATCTGTTCCAGAACTCTCCTCTTTCAACCTTTGACACTGAGAAAGACACTTTAGAGAAAAAGACAAAGGGTAGATAGATGGCGCACTATATATATACTATCGTATACAAACATATATATGCCGTGCCGTATGGTGTCGGCATAAAATAGCTCTTTCTTTCCCGTGGGTGTTACAAGTAGTGACTAAAAAAACCATTAAGGTCATGAAAAGTCTAACTGCGATTGCCAACTCGCCTGCCAAGTGTGACAGCTACTGACAAACTCCCCTCCTTGAAGGCCTATGTTTAGCAGTGGACAACACCATACACTATACCACGCATACAAAGTTGTGGACTATAACTAGTATATAAACATTGTACTTACAGCAATTTAAAATGGCAATAATTAAAACTTTCATGTCAGTGTAACACGATAGGACGAAAAATACATCACCATAACTTTAACATAACAGCATTCCGTCCGAAATATTCCGTGCATGTCAACAAACAAACAGTAAACGTAATTATACCCTGTTTGTATTACATTAAGCTGTATTAATACTAATAAAATTTTACAATACACCGTAACCCAAATACTGCAGAAAGCAATAAAATGCCGCGTTGGTACTTATTTGGCACCTCTCAGAATTAAGCAATCTCTTATAATGTAACCTCCCTTTTAAGAAACAATGGGATAACGAAGTATTATATTATAAAAGATTTTATATATTTTTTATATCTGCTGTACCCATGATTCCGTTTACGTGTATCTCATCATTTTATCGTTATTTCATCATCGTATATTTTATCCAATTTTGAGTGCCAAGCACACCGGTAACCCACTTGATGATAATAATCATCGTTTATTGACATGAATAACGCCATATAAATCAGAGAATATAATGCAATGACTATGATAACCCTAAAATAGTATGGTTTGTTAAGATGTGCCTTTCTTACAAATTAATAGTAAAATTTATAATTGTAAAATTAACTTCAAAAAAACATCAACTGTGTTACTTGGTTATTCTATTTACCGCTGAAAATTGGTTTTTCTCTTATGCCAGTGTATGTTAAAGTTTTATGGAAATATTATGTTAAATTTATTGTAAAATATATCAATAATCTCTCTTATAAAATAAAGAATCTATAGATATTCCTTCAGTTCTGATTCTTATTAGCATAGATAAAAAAAAACAAATAAATATTACAATAATAAAATAAAACTCTATATAGTCTAGATTATTAACAAATATAAAAAAAAAACACATTTTAATATGTCATCAACAGTTTACCTCGTAAATTTGTTCTCTATTTAAAAAAACTTGTCTCGACCCACATAGATAATTTATAGTTTGAATAAATCCTTTTGTATACAAATACCATATTATTATGGATCTAGATCAATTTTGAACAAAAAATCTTTAGAAATAGTTTGTTCTAAATTAATATAAATGTTAATAATTACATAATGGTGTCTCAATCGGTCGTCTTATTCGATTCAATTTTGACATTGTTTTGTTTATTAAACTATTGTTCATTAAAACAATACTATTCGTATATAGAAATTGCAAAATTGCACACAGGCCAATTGTGGCTTAATGACTGGTGCTATAAGCGTTAATCGTTGAAATAGTGTTTGGTGTAAGATATAAGAAGGCGCGATATAATGAAACTAGACAAGTCTACTCGCGCTTTAATATACAACTAATATGTATTTATATTTTGGACAAATATATATACAAAATTCTGATTTATTGTTACATTTGATTGTTTTATTACAAATTAGCTTTATTTTGCTAAATTATTGGATGAATTGGACTTTAAAATTCGATTAATCCAAAAACTGAAGCTGCATCTGGCTCGTTTAATTCATATATATAGTAAAGAATAGAAAAGGTATATAATATATCTATGTTTCAATAATTCAACATTTTGAGAAATATTGTTATTATTATTATTAACTTGTCTTTTTTTTTTCAAAGCAAAAACTGCTGAATATCACCTTTATGTCGCATTTTCTCGTTTTATTAGACCTGTAGTTAAAGACATTATATTACATAATTCTATTAAGCATTTGCGCAAATCTTCAACCAATCGAGTTTATTCAAGAGTAATTTAACGTTCTAATAGAAAAAGTATTGATGTATTAATGTTTAATCAACCAAAACATCAAATAGTCATCTGGTACTTTTTAAAGAGCTAGTTTGGTAGAGGTCATTGGCACGGATTCTCTCTGCCTGTGCTGCAAGGAATTTGGCGTAATGATAGATAGATTGATATTAATGGCTGGATTTACCATAGAGAATATATTAAAAAAGTACACAGATACCTTTTCTATACTAAAAACGTTAATATACAAAAATCCGTTCCCACACTCTATAGTACGCTATGAGCTTATCACGTGTACCGTCAACTTAATCGTTAAAATAAATCTTGGTACGATAATGCCGACTAACGAGTGACGATACAATGCCGCGACAATCGCTGGCGGGCCCTTTCATCTTGACACTTTGTCTTTTATACTGACGTCGACGTGCACTGGTCGGCTTGTTTTATTCCCTTCAAAATATTTGTAATTAATTGGATACGTTCAATAGAATCTTTTTTGAATACGTTGCTGCAGGATTCTGTGTACGTAAATTTATGTTTGTTAATATATACGAGTAATAAATATATATTTTTTTTTGTAATTTTACAAATATATAAATACAAGTATCATATACTAAATACCGTGTGGTCCTCGCATAGAATAGGCCACCCGTTCCTATCCAGTGGGTGTCACGAGCCGATTAAGGAAGGGCGAGCGATGGGTAACAGCGTCCCTCTTAAAACATCTCTAAAGCCTGACTGCGGTTGCCAATCCACCTGCCGAGTTTGGCAACTACTGGAAAATCCTCCTAAGGGGAGGACTTATGTTCAGCAGTGGACAGTTAAGGGCTAACATGATGATACAAATTGGTGCTCCTTTAAATATCATAATATATTATATATTTGTATAGCAGTTGTAAAAAAGATGTAAAGCGAATGGTTCTAAAATTTGAGCTTATCTTTGAAAGAGATATCTTCCAATCAACCTAATGCAATGAGAAAAGAAATAACTAACGGGTAATCTAGTGCAGGATTGCCGTGTATAAGATTTAAAAAAAAAGAAATAATTATAATACGAATTAACAGTGAGGGAGAAACACTGCAACACTTAATTTGTGGCTGCAGCCCATTGATACTTAAACAGTATATGTATCTTTGGAAAATACACTTTTGTTCAGAGAAGATAAAAAAACATCGCTACAAATACATCTTAATAGGCGAACACAAGGAAAGGTCGCAGTGTCGCAGACTTTTATGCCTGAAAATGCCCGTCTTTCAATAATAATATAATATAAATTACATAGAATACTAATGAGTCAAACATACATAAATTACAAATAAATAAATATAAATAAATAATGACAGTATGTACAGAATTAAATAGTATATATCTATGAATATACAGAAATGAATACATAGTATTAAGTATTGTTATATACAAAAAATCATTTTTAATTTTCTTTTCTGTAATTTAATTATGCAGCATGCCCCTACAACATAGGGTTCTTCAAAAGGGAGGTAAAGAGGTTTCTTCAGGGTCGGCAACGCACGCGTAATACCTCTGGTATTGCAGGCTACGGTAACCACTTACCATCAGATGGGCCATATGCTTGTTTGCCACCTCAGTGGTATAAAAAAAATTGTTCAATATTATGTATGCTTTATTGACATTTTAATTATTATTATGTAGGTACGAGTATATATGAAATGTGGGTAATATTAGTATTATTTATTGTATTAAATATACTTTGTGAAATTAATATTATTTATTAAAATGTAATTAAATTACAGTTAGGGTTCAACAATAAAAATATGAACTAGCTCGTAAGTCGTATATTTAACGAGTAACCTACCATTTCACGTCGTCGCCGCTACATGCGTTATTGGTTTATCGGATGCCTCGGTAATCTGCGAATTTCACCAAAGCGGCGGCTGCTTTGTTACCGCGGGCGATTTTTTTACGATTTTTTAAAATTATCTCCATTCGAGAATCGATTGTGGCGCGATCAGAATCCACACGGTAAATCTCAAAGGGCTTGAGTGATCGAAGAAATGAGTAATTTTTATTACTGCGATTACTACAATTGGCTAACAATTGAACGTTTGCCGATGGGAACGGAAGAACAAATCAATTAAATTGCATGTCAGTAATGACAAAATGTGTGAAAATAACTATTGTAATACTACCATATCATTTTATTGTTTCACATTTTAGCAATAAATTAAATTTTAACGTAATATCTACCGAATTAACTTACGTGTAATTAATTAGATCAAAAAAGCTCAACTAATTTCGGAATCAATTCGCGACCCTTAATCATAAACGACTGTGATGCGAGCACAAGCCTGAATAGATTTCAATCATTCATTCTTTCAAAGTCAACTAAAGTAATTGTTTATTTTATATATGTATTAGAGACTAGTTACGACCGTGACTTCGCCTGTTTGTTCGAAATAAAAAGCAACATATATTTCTCTTTATTATTATATAATATATGTGTTATTATTGTGTATGTAATTAACTATTCACTGATGAACATAAGCATTTCTTTTATAAGGAAAGTTTTGCTATTAGTTGCCACGCTTGGCAGGCGGATTGGTAACCGTAATTGGGCTATGGTGATGTTTTAAGAGGGACTGGATCGAATGATGGGCTGTTGCCCATCCCTCGAGATCTTCTCTCTTACAACACCTATGTTTCTATGTTATACCTATATCACTTATAAAATATTATATTTATTCTTGCTGTTATTGGTTTCAGGTGCTGATCTGAGTTTTGTTTGGGCAATCCTCGGGATGAGTTAGAAAAAGGTAACATTTATTTATTTATATTTTATATAATCAGGTTTTAAAAAAATATTTTTGTAATATACCTACCTACATAAGCTACAGTAACGGTTTACCATCTGACGGACTGATATATTGTATATATATACAGTCTGCATATACAGATGCTTTTTGGTAAACTTAACAGCAAATTATTACAATACCAAGTTTCAGATCCATCCGATACTCCATCATCGTTATCGTATCAGCCTTTAACTGTCCACTGCTGAACATGAGCCTCCCTCTTGAAGGATTTTGTCAGTAGTTGCCACGCTTGGCAGACGGATTGGCAACCGCACTTAGGCTTTGGAAATGTTAAAGAGGGACGCTGCTGGCCATCCCTCGTCCTCCTTAGTTGCCTCTTACGATACCCAAGATAAGGAAAGAAAGGTGTGACCTATTCTATGCCAGGAATACACGGCAAATATTTTATATCTACTTTTTTTTTATGTTAATCATGTAGACGAAGTCGCAGGAAGAAAGTAATAACAATTATATTAAAATATCTGTTTCGTCATCCGTCCATCCGACATTCTATCCACATAATAAAATACGACTATATTACGTGTAAAACAACAAAGTCATTTGATAACATTCTATTCTGATTGCTTGTTACTTCATTTTTATTACAGTATCATTTATTTTCTGCTACAGTACCTATTTAACCAATTTTTAAGACCTATCACGCTTAGTCTTGTTTTAATTATGAGAGTTCAAGTTACAATGGTCGTATCTAGTAAGAAAGCTGTAAGATAGTTTTCTTTATATCTTAATAAGAAATTTACGATTGTTCCTCCGTCGATCAGAAGTCGATAATTGTTACTAAATATACTGTAGACGTATGCTATTTATTATTTAATTTGTGGTGTAAAATGAACAGTTATTGTGTGTGTTTTCTCATGTAGATAATTACAGTAGTAATATAATTATTATATATGTTTTTTTATGACTGTTAAAAAAAAACGATACCCCATCCGCATTATTAATAAACAATAGCGGGGTATCAGTGAAGGATGATAGGTGAGGGTGAAGTAATCATATAAGTATAAATCTTTTTTATACCAATTGAGGTGGCAAACAAGCGTATGGCCCACCTGATGGCAAGCAATTACCGTAGACAATGAGCCCTTGTAATACCAGGCACATTACACGCGCGTTGCCGACTCTGAAAAAAATCTCTTTAGCCCTTTTTTGAAGAATCTTATGCTGTCGTCTTAATGCTGTAGTCTCTTGCAAAAACTCGACAAGGAACTCATTCCACATAAATCAATAGGTATCCAAAAAAAAATTTAAAAAATACAAAATAGAAAAAAGGAAAGTCGCTTCCACGACTGTCTATGCTAAATCAGTCATCGCTTACTATTTCTAAATCAGACAACAAATGTTGATACTATATACTTACGTGTATTACTGTTATTTATATATTTTTATAAGTTCATATGTGTAATTTGTATCCACGCGAAACCTGGTCGGGTTACTAGTATGACAAAAAACAGACGTGCAACATAAATAATGCACCTAATTAATAACATACATTTATTAAAATGCTAATTAAGTATAAATGAAAACCGAATAGATCGAAAAAATACTAATCACATTAGGTAAAACCGCAAGACATTAGCTAAAATTCCAGTATAAAGTTTCGAAGTCAAAGAACTAACTGAATAGTGATGGGAGAGTAAAACAAAAATACCGGTAAATGCCGATACGTATCGGTAACAGATCTTTGGCCATTTGCTAATGACTACACCGCACGCTTTTGTGGAGATTCCTCTAAAAATGCGAACTTTGGAATCGATAAGTAAAAATGTGGTGCAAGATAGAAATAACTAGAAATGACCCGTCTTTATTTTCCTCCAATAGACATTTTTTTCTATTTTAATTGTATAATACATATTTTAATTTTGATATATATATATATATATATATATATATATATATATATATATATATATATATATATATATATATATTTACTTTGTCCTATTAAAAGTGAAGCGAAGGCGAATCGTAAAACACCATGCGTTGTCAACCCAAACTTTTCGTAATTTCACAGAGGTCAACGACATCGTGGCCAGACCAAATGTCGCCCATCGGCCTTCGTGAGAATCCGAAAGATATGTCGATTCTAAACTTGCTGCATTAGCATAATCGTGTTCTAGCTCTATAAATTTCTGGACTTAAGTGCCTCTAACATGTTCGTTGGCCACACTTGCCACACTATACTCCGTGCTTAGTAGCACGGTGTGTATGACAGTTGATATTTTGGCATTTTCAATGTAAACAAACATTACTGAGTTAACTTTATAAAGTTAATATTTACAATGCTAAATATAATGATATATATAATAACTTTATTCATAATATTTCGAACAATATATATTAACAAAGTCGCTTCCCGTCGTCTGTACGCTTAGATCTTTTAACTACACAACAAAGTTTAATACGGTTTACATCAATAGATAGAGTGATTCAAGAGAAAGGTTTATGTGTATAGGTTAATATTGTTTTTAGTTAATTTGTTGAATAAATCAAATCGACTGAGAGTTTTCATTGAAAATACTAAAATCTTAATAATCAGTATCATTTTTTTTTAAGGGAAAAACAAAGAGTTTTCATTCATTCATTGTGAAAGAATAAAAAAAATCTTTTATATGTCGCTCTTAGGGATAAGGTCGCCCATTGTTTTTTCATTGTGATTATTTCTTGTAATTATTTATATTTATAATAAGTTTACTATTGTAATCTTTTAGAGGAAACAATAAAGATCTATCTATATGATATATTTATTCTTGTTTATTAAGACTATAAAATATTCAGCGTTGGCATTCCATAATATATTATATTGAACTAATATTTGTTGCTTTCCAAAATCAACTATCATTTTAGTAATCTTGAAGGACGAGTTTTTGTTTAGTTTTCAACACACCTGTTTGCTTATTATTATTTTTTTTAATTTCCAGATGCAAAACTATATTTTCAATTCTAAGAATAATATTATGCTAATTTGTCAATACATATGATAATACAATCTTTTATAACGGTAAGCTGTATGAGATTTGATATCGTTTTACAATTTTCACAATGTCCAAGTGTTATATATCGCATCATTTTATTCAATATTACCGTAATAATATTTCTCTTGAGCGAACTACATAATTTTTGATTTGTGATTAAATTATGAAATTTTTGTGTCTGATTAGTTCCAATTTTAATTCAAATAAAATTTTCACTCTTTTAATTATGAACTTATAATAATATGTAAAAAAATATTATAATAATATTTTTTTACATATTTTATTTATAAATTTATTTCATTATTTAATGGGCTAAAATTAAATTATGTAAAAAGAGAGATGCACGAATACTAGGAGAATTATACAAACCTATGCCACTAATATAATAAATAATTAATATAATTTTGTATATCTCCCAATGCATATTTCAATCTTAAAATAGCCCTTACTTATCCAAATTCATTACATTTTTCATGAATAAGTATGTATGTATAATAATTTACCGATTAATTTGATACACTCAAAATATAAATATTTAAAGACAGAATATTTTATTATAAGAAAAATATTATCCGATATGCATTAATATCCCTATTAAATATAATAATTAATCACAGTTAAATTATTAGGCATATTTTTTATATCAATATTATTATTTTTTATATTAAAATACATTTTTTTGTGACCGTTAAACGCATAATATTATAAACGAAGTTTAAAATGCTAAATAATTCATTAAAAAGTTCATAAATATAATAATTTTGCATTTTATGATGTCATACTAGAAGCGGCCTTGAGGCCACATCCTTGAGTCTGGTCGTTTGTCACAAAAGACAGTTAGTTAGTCTAGAAAATACACTAAAATTAACATAATGAATAAAATATTATATTAACGGGATTTTGATCGAATTGCCACAATGTCTGAGACACATCTCATTTGGGTTATAATACCAGTATCTATATTGTATTTTATAGAGTATAGTAAAATTTTGTTTTTTATGCAAAATAGTAAATAGCAAATAGTAAATTTTTAAGCTATTTGATAAAAAAATATAATATTATGTTTTACTAACAAGCCCCGAATTCAATTGTGGCAAAACCAGTTATTTTGATTTAAAAACTAAATTACTGAAACGATTTTGATAAAATTTCTATGGGACCAATCTGTAAGTATTATATATCTATTGAGATAAAAAAAGAATCGAAAATCTATTAACTAGAAAACAAAATACAAGCATATTATACATTTCATATATGTATAATCAGAAATACGATTAAATCATATGTATATTGTAATTTAACAGATTTAATTATTTTATTTTCACTGCTTCTCAGAGACAAAAGAGATGGTAAAATTATAGGGTTGTACCTGAACTCGTTTGAAAATATTTTAGTCTATGGTCAAACACTACTCTTACATATTGGCGGTAGGCTTTCTTTGTGAATTATTGCGGGTTCCGTATACAGACTGGGGCTCACCCGCGTCAATACCTTAATGGCAAGCCATGTTTCCAAGTGAGGAACACTAAAAAGTAAAAAATAGGGGTGGTCTGGGAAATAGGGAAGCTATTGAAGTAAGATTTAGCATTACACGTTCCGTTCCAATAATACTGATAACATCCACTTTTTTAGGTAATACAGGGGGCAAATAAGCATGCGGCTCGCCTGATGGTAAGTGACTACCAGAATTCTTCGAACTATTATTTCTTGCGAGTCATATTTGATAATAATAGGACAATAATATTTTTTTTATCATATTGTAATAAGATAATACAACCAAGATGGAAGTTAATGTGGAAATGACCGTGAATAGCGAAAAATAGAAAAAAAAATGTATTACGGCGACCCCAAATAAATAAGAGCAGAAGAGAATGACTTAAAAATTAAAGATTGAACAAATTTTAAGTATGAAAAGGTTTTTATATTAAAAAATCAATAACTGTTAATATTCCATATTAATATATAATA